CAGATCACACACTCTATATTAAAGGGTATAATATGATCTACAGCAGTATTCCAATTCAACTACTTTGATTACATATATAAGGTAACCTATAATAACAGAATAATCTAACAACTTGCATACAGTGAGTTAAATGGATGATCTTGGAATCTGCAGTTGGCTCCAAAAAATATTCCCAACTTGGGTAAATCAACAATTCTCTTTCTTGGATCGTCACTTGGAGTTCCTTGAACTTTCCCATTGTTCTGAGTATTGGTCAATTCAATGAGTGCTGTCAAACAATCACTTTAATGCTGCAAAGAGCAATGACGAGTTACATTAAAGATTTAAGCTGTACAATCATTCCACCGTAGAAAAAGAACAGTTGAAAGAAATCATTAAAAATTAGCATCACACGGCCTTTCAGGTGAAACTTTTCTGTGTAAAGTTTTACATATTAAAATCGAACATTAACCAAACTGTTATTTCATATTCTAAATTTTCACCTTAGTCAACTTCACATGCGCACACACATTTCAGCTCCACGTGGACTGTGTGGACCCGATCCTTTGGTAGTCCAACTCCTGCCCCTTGGATGGATATGTTGTTTACAACCCCCTGACTTTTAGAACCAGTGACAGGAAGACCTCCGCAAAGTCAGACTTCACTTCGAGGTGCTATCAGGCACTTCAGTTTCTTTAAACATCAGGAGATGAATCCTTAATCAAAATCAAGTAAAAAAGAAAAAAGAAAAAAAAAGACTTGAATCTGCAAGTATGAGATTTATTTTTGCTTGCAAAGTTGTATTTTTTCTGTATTTTACAACACAGCATTAATTAAAAAGCCATAAATTCTCACTGGTATCAACTAAGTTTATTAATTTGGTGCACAAAAAAGGCAAGACTAACAGCACTACCATCATTACAGAGGTAAAAACACAAGAGGTGTCCATTGGGGAAGAATCAGACGATTCGATAGTGAGATACACAAGGGGAACACTATACATGGAAATCAATACAAATCACGTTCAAAAACAGGAAGTGGCAGTGATTGGAGTTGTTGCGCTTGTCAAGAAGTACCAGCACAACATGTTGACATACGACTCCTCGAGTGGCCGCTGAGGCTGGGGTGTACCGTGTTTTTTAAAGCTGATGACAAGCAGGAGAAAAATATTTTCAGCTGTAAGCGTACTGAATGATCAAGTGCTCAGTTTGTTGCTACATTTAAAATTACAAAGCTCAGGCTTTTTGTACAATCCTGTGGGGGGAAAACACTCAAAATCTGTTTCATTCAATCGGTGCATATCTCCACTTCTGGATGGTAGAAAAAAACAGCACAAATGATTTAAATCACTGTCACATCGTACATAAAATCTTTACTATATACATACAAAAGAGCACACGTGAATGTACAGAATGAAATCCAAAGAGTCGTAAAATGATGGAAGACTAATTATGGTAAAAGCTTTGCTGCACTGTTCTCTTTAAAAAGTGAATTTACTTGAAAATATTGCTATTTGAACCATTGTTTTTCACACTGTATCATGGTTCAACAGTTTTAAATGTTTTATTGTGGATATTTTTACCCACTTTTAGTGGGTTTTTACCCGACCTTCAGTGGGTACCCATATTTACCCACTGAAGATTTCTTGGAAACATGGATAAACCTGCCTTGTCCTGCCAGGTAGGAAAGGCATGAAAGAGTATGGTTGGCCTTTTTGTTCAATATTTCACTAAAATACTTCTTTGTATAAATATTAAGAGCGTAAGTACTCAGATTTATGCTACCAGTTGTCCTCTGAGCTCAATGCTAGCATGCTAATATGGTCACAATAGTTAAGCTTAACATGCTAAGCGAGTATATGTATATGCCTTGTAGGGCCGCAGACCAGTCAGCACGCCCCTTATAAAATGTGTATTCCCTGACTGGTTGGTGAGTGGTTGCTGGCTGTCGTTGTGTAAAATAGTTTGCAAAACAGGGTACTGCCTCAAAAACCTTGTTGCAATTGCTTTGGTCGCTAGCAGATTACTGCGGTCGTCCACAGTTTGCATGGAATTTGTCTGCAAACACTCACCAGTCAACCAATGAGTGGTAATGAAACATGAACAAGTGTAGCACCACCTAGAACATTTGCGTTCAAAGTAAAAGCTGCTGAACCAACATATTTCAAAAGGCAACACTTTTACTGTAAAGGCAGTCTGTGCTCTATTCTTCACAGTTTTACTATCGCTTCGTGAGTAGTTGACAAGACATGAAGTGTTTGCAAACCAGGTGGAGACTTCCGTGCAAACTCTGTGCCAAATCGGCCCTCTATTTTGTTACAGCCAGCTTCACCTAGCAACAGTAACCTCCAACAACCTTTTGCTAATCTGGGAAAACACATTTTTCCATAGTGAACGGCAGTTACAAGGGGGTCACTGGTCTTAGCAATGGATTCCACAGCGACTGCCCACAACAAGCAAAAGATCCCCCAGTTCAAGACCAGGAGGAAATACCTTGTGGGTTGCATCAGGATGAGTATCCTGCCCAATCAAATGTGCAGCACTGCCCACTGTGGAAACCCTTAGTGAATAATGGGAGAGCTTAATGTAGTTTTCTTTTGGTTGGAGAAATTTTTTTTCCTAGCAGCCTTCCAGTGCCAGGCAGTCGCCATCAGCTCTCTACGTCTTGTGTAAATGAGGCCTTAGTCATCTTATTTCAGCTAATATTTCTCATATTTGCTGGTTAGACACAAAGTACAACAGACATTATTATTAGTCTTGCAGGAACTGAACCGTTGAAAATTTGACCATGGACTGTTTAAAGGATGGACAAAGTCAAGCTAATGCAGGAGCACCTTAAAGGTGCATTCTGATATCCAGCGAGTCCTCTGACTGCAAAAAGACTTTGGGTCATATAAACCTTTACAGAAAACCGCCCACAGTTCCTAGTTGACAAGTTACAGACAAAGTTGCCAGTTTCAGAACATAGTCGTTCCAACCTCGTTTTAAAAATCTTAATACTGAGCAAGCAGTTTCTCAGTCAAATCCACACCTTACACATCATAGCTGGTTTCAAACATCACAGTGTTTGAAACCAGCTGTGATGTTTGAAACCAGCTGGGGAAAACACTCATCCACTGAAGCACTTAACAGGCCAATGGATGATGCTCTGGTGGCTAGGTCCATCTTTTATACAGTCTATGACTTTGACTTTAAGATGATGCAGCGTGGAAATTTAAGGGTCAGCAAAGTTCTTACAAATCATCCTGAGAGGAACATTAATATAAATGGCTATCCATCCAACCAAATGTCAGCCTTATAGTGAACCGGAGAGAAAAATACGTTTGTGATTGAAATAACTGTGATACAGTATCAGGAAACAATGAGCATCTGTACACATTCTAACAGTAAACCACCAACAGTTGTTGAAATGGTTTACCAACGGACCAACGAGCTCACAGACCGCTACAATGGCATTGCCTTCTGTTGAGCTGCACTATATCAGTGTAGCAAAGAAGCACTCTCTGGACCAAAAGAGGAGAACCATTATTATAAACTGAAGCGTTCATTCAAACCCAGATTTTTTTCCCTCCCTCTAGAAAATATAAACCTATGTTGATGCCTACTGTGTGAGTATATATATATATAAATAGTTTTGGGCATGCAGGTACAGCTAAAAGCAGATCTCCAAGGCACCAATTGCACAATGCTGTCAAGAAATTAGTTTCAAAGGGTAATGCTGTACCCGAAAAGATGTTCAGGTATTAAGAAAAAAGTAAATCAAATCATAATTTATTGGCAAGCAACAGATTCTTCCAGTTACAGAGAACTTGCTATGCTTGTTACCATCTCCATGTTGTTATTCTTGGACTCTACTGGAGTAGCTTTGCATTATTCAAGGATCAAAATTAGGGCTGGGCGATATATCGAGTTTTTTAAAAATATCGATATATTTTCATACGAGATATAAGATGTGACAATATCGTTTATATCGATATAGTCTATGTTACGTTATAATTATACTTGTGGAGCCGCAGGTTTGCCTCTCTTTCGTCCACTTATGTCTCTACGCAACGTTACTCGGCCTCGCCACTCCTTCACTGAACACAACTCCCCCTCCCCCATAGCTTTACCTGCAGGCAATGACAAGATGAAAGAGGAAAATCTCCGTTAGCGAGTTACCTCGGATCGCCCCGTGCGTGGGGCTGGACGGTGTCAACGTGTTAGCGAGCTAACCGCGCTAACGAGCTAACCGCGCTAACGACATGCAGCCAGGAGGGGCTGCACGGCCTAAAATCCTTTCATTTTCTCCAAAATCGACAGTGCGCCTTATGTATGAATTCTGGTTGTGCTTACTGACCGCGAACCGATTTTATGTGGTACACAGCGCTCAGCAATCTGTCAAAAAATGTTTTAGTTCGACTTTGGTAAGCTACGGAGCTGCACCGCTTGATGGAGCCGCCTCGCGGAGTGATACGTACTGTGCTTCAACGTAATATTACCGTACTGTGTGTGTATAAGGACCACAAATGGCACCTGTTCAGAGAAGTGGTGCAGCTGTGAAATCTGTCTCTTTGTTATTACGCTCAGCGTCTATTAGTTTACATTTTGACTGCACAATTGTGAGCTTTTCGTTATGCACAAAAACAACATTGTTTTCTTTTATTTATGGACCATGATTATTTAATAAATGCTGATAATTTATTTTTGAGTAAATCTTCATGTACATCTACTCTGTATGTAAAGAAAATGCCCATGTGACATCTGGGACACAGTGTGACTAGGAACTCTCTTTTTGTTCTTAACTTATGGCTTTAAAAAAAAAAATCGAGATATATATCTTATATCGCCATCCAGCTAAAAAATATCGAGATATGAATTTTGGGTAATATCGCCCAGCCCTAATCAAAATAATAAATATTCCTTATACTGAGCCCTGGAGTAGCCTATCTTAGACTATTTGTCTTCTAAATGGCTTCCACTAACAAACAGAGGATTTGAACAACAAGTGGGTGGGGCAAAGACAGCCCCACTCTCTGACATCATCCAGAGCCAACAGCAGAAAAAACTGTCTGAAAGCAAGTATTTAAAGTAGACTGAAGCCAGCACTTTTCCTTGCAGAGGTTACTTAGACATACACTGACCTCATCAATTAAAACCTAATAGGTAGCACAATAAGTCCACTTTGTCCACTGTGTGACAACAGCATATTTATAACAGTATCCCTCAAAGAAAAGTAGCAACTGTACCACTGATTGTTTCCAATAGTTAATCTAATTCTTTGGGCTCTTACGAATCCCGTTAAACAAGTCTTGACACGTTTTGTCATACAAATAAATGTGGACAACTGTAAATGGAAATAAATGGGAAAACAATTCAGTCTCTAAGTAATCTATGATGAATTGCTGTTAACGGTAAAATGCACATATATTCATACGCACGGTGAAAACATTCATTTTCATGCATTCAAAAACAGATGTAGGCTAAAAACCTTAAACTTCAGACATGAACTTCAAAATGGCAGCTTTGCTTTGCTTTACAATGTACATCAAAATTTCAATCCAAAGGTTCTGGAGTCAGTCAAAAGTTGGAAAGCTGAAGCTCGTTTTCCTTTTACTTACACTCAGTTTAGTTAACAAATCCCAGAGCGTCATTTATGGTGGAATGAGGCAGTAGGATACAAAGCGAGATGTGAGTGCTGCGGACTGGGAAAGCTTCTTCGTCTTATTTAATATACAGCAGGCATTTATGGTGAGGATAAGTGCACTACACATTGACCTGTATCTGTGTCCATCCTGCAAACTCACCAGATTTTTTTTATACTAAATATCGAAACACACCACCTTTGCGTAACCCTATTTAACGATTACAGGCAGTAAGAAGGCACCCTCTATAATGCCAGAACCGGATACTGTGGGACATCGTGTTCACACGGACATCTGCTGTGAGGAATCTCGCTGGTGATCGTCAGATTTGGGAGAATGAGAGAACACGGTGCACAAACTCGTCTTAACAGCAGCTACATAACGTGACACAGATGCTGATTCATTTCTTGAGCTAGCTTATGCATTCTTTGGCAAAGTTGTACAATCACAGAACTCAACAACAACAATGCCTGTGTGAACACAAACTCATATGAATTACTTAATTTGGATTTTAACTGAAGCACTGATGGGTGGGGAAATGAGCCTGAGAAGCTTTAGCTTCTCTTGGTCAGAGGTCTGCCCTCCCGGATGTGCTTGGCGCTCCTCTTTTCCGTCTTCCCCTTCTCCCTAACCTTCCTCAGGCGCCGGGGAGGTGGTGTACCTCTTGATTCACTGTCCTCCTGAGCGCTGGATGTATCCATCCCATCACGCTCTTCAGGAATATTTGGAATGGCCCCACTGCTCCCATCTAAAATGTTCCTCAGGGACGGGTCCTCTGGTGTGCAGGTAGCAGTGGTGCCGCTCTCACTGCTGCTCAGGTCCTGCTCTTCGCCGTACCGCCCGCCACGGCTGTGGTGCGGCAGGGAAGAAGCCCTGATAGAAGGTCGGTCACGCTCCGTCTCGCGGATGCTTTGCTGAGGCTCGTTCATGTCCACCCCTGAGTCCAGGCTGGTGTCGTTGCTGCTTGGCGGGCGGTGGTGGCTCTGGAGCTCAATGATGGAGTGGCGGACCTGCGCTGCTGGCTTCCCGTCTAAGGAGACAAACCAGGCTCTGGGGTGAGACGACGAGGACTTGCCACGTGTCAGCTCCAGCAAGGTGCGCTCTGAAATCCCCTGCAACTCACTGGGCACGCCGTGCCCGGTGTTGAAGCCCTCCATGCCAGCTGCCTCATTAAGAGTCCCAGGCACAGAGACGGAGGATTCAAGGAGGTTACTGTAGCGTCCCCACACACTGTTAGGGCCTTGCCCCTGAGGGGGTGTCTCCAGAGGCTGGGGATCATCTTGGCTACTCTGCTGTGGGCTGCTCCCACCTTGTGAGTGGTGGTGAGGAACTTTGGGTAGTGTCTGGGTGTAGCTGTCTTTACTTGCAGGCTCTGAGTGAGCATCATACTCACTTCCGTTGCGGGGGAAGGTGGCGGACTTGCAGCCTGGTAGCTGCTGCTCCTGAGCACTGAAGAGCTCGGGAGCGGGAATAATGGCCACTGGCTGGTTGTAGATATGGACCAGCTTATCCTGAAAGAAGTTGTCGCAGTTGATGTTGGCCCGGTTCTGCTCCGACTTCTCCCTTAATCGAGACACCTCCTCACTGTTGATGTAGTGAGGTGGCGGCTGAGGACCCTTCATCCGATCTGGAGTGATGTTCTCATAAAGCGGTGCCGTGGCACGAGTCCCTGGATCCTCCACATAGATGTTATAGTTGGCTTTGTGCCTTGGAGTAGATGACGGTTCGCACTGGATGCTGCAGGTGGCGAGGCTGTTGTCGCCAGATCGGAACAACAAGCCCTCTTCCATGTGGGTGGAGGTGGTTTGGTCTTTCTTTACAACCGTCAATTTGGAAAAACGTGCTCTCCTCCTCCTGGGCTCTCGATAAGAACCTCTGTACATGGGAGAAGCAAAAGTTAAGCAGGACAAGCTTTGGTCTACAGGCTTTTCAGACTCACTCATAGAACCTTTAAAGTAGGAACTGTTTCACTATTTCATTACTAACAGCCTATCAAAGCTGAACACAGAGTAGCACATTTACTTGTTAAGCAGCTCTTGAGAGTTAGCATAACTCTGGCAGAAGATATTGCTAAAGTTGCAACAAACATTGTAATCTGTCTTTTAGACCCCATTCCTACAAAACTGCTCAAAGAAGTCCTGCCATTAATTAATTCTTCGATCTTAAATATGATCAACCTATCTCTAAT